GATGCCCTAGTGCTAAGAAGTACGATTTGTTGCGGTTGTTTTGGCCTCGAAGTGATGTCATATTCAGCACCTGTTCAGAGTGGCATGTAAATGCTGAGTTCGCATCGTAGGTTCCTGTCACCTTCTGCACTGCTTATCGTTCCAGTGTTCAACACGAGAGGTGTTGCGGGCTTTTGGAGTTCGGGTAATATAGGGGCCTCAATAAGTAACTATAGTATAATAGACCCCAAGGCCCTGGTCGAATTATTAAGGCCCCTTCATTACAGACAAGGCCTTCGTCAGGGGGTTCCTATGTTTGGAAGCTCCCGAATACAGCCCAAAGACATATCCTTCGTGGCCTGCTACAATACAGAAGCTTGGACAAGTTTGTAACAATACTCCTTCCGGTTTCCGTCGTTATACTGTGATGTATCCCAAAAACTCTGCTCTATTTGTTCATGCCTCTATGTTCAGCATACAGTATTCAATCCTCTACAGGGTAGTAGGCCAAGGCCTTGTTTGGTAAATCCAGCAAGAAAGAAAGACATTCGTAATACCATATACACGTAAAAGCTAGAGAGAGGTATAGGTATGGACATAGCTATGATAGCTATGTCTTTATATATGTATATACGAAAAATCTATGTATATACGAAACAGACCTGCCTCCCACCCCCCCCCCCTGTCTGCAAGTAGATGCACAGTCTGTCTGGTGCTTAGTAGGGAATGGGGGAATGGGTTATAGGGACTACTATAAGGGACTTTAAGGGACTATCATAGGGATCCATTCCCCCATTCCCTACTAAGCACCAGACAGCAGTGCCTCTTGCCAGGATGCCATCCTCAGTACCGAGGAGGTCTTGGCCCTGGGCCCCGACGAGGCTGCAACCAACAGTTTAGGGCTTCGAGACGGGTCTCTTTAAGGTTTCTATAAGGTTGCATTAAGGGTTTCTTTAAGGATTCTATAAGGGTTTTTTCAGGTTTCTATAAAGGTTTCTTTAAGGCTTCTATATGGTTGCTATAAGGGTTTCTTTAAGGTTTCTATATGGGTTTTATTAAGGTGTCTATAAAGGTTTCTATAAGGGTTGCTTTAAGGTTTCTATAAAGGTTTCTACAAAGGTTTCTTTAAGGCTTCTATAAAGGTTTCTTTAAGGTTTCTATACAGGTTTCTTCAAGGCTTCTATAAGGGTTGCTTTAAGGTTTCTATAAAGGTTTCTTTAAGGTTTCTACAAAGGCTTCTTTAAGGCTTCTGTAAGGGTTTCTTTAAGGGTTGCTTTAAGGTTTCTATAAAGGTTTCTTTAGGGCTTCTATAAAGGTTTCTTTAAGGTTTCTGTACGGGCTTCTTTAAGGTTTCTATACGGATTTCTTCAAGGCTTCTATAAAGGTTTCTTTAAGGTTTCTATAAAGGTTTCTTTAAGGTTTCTGTAAGGGTTTCTTTAAGGTTTCTATTAGGGTTTCTTTATGGTTTCTGTGATGCTTTCTACAAGGGTTTTCTATGAGGGTTTCTATAAGGGTCCCTAAACGGTTTCTATTAGGGCTTCATGAGGTTTCATAAGGCTTTCCATAGGGGCTTCGGGTTCAGGGCATAGGGTTTTGTACTGTTTCTAGAAGGGTGGTTTTATCCCGCTTCTACAAGGGTTTAGAAGGGTTTAGAAGTAGGTATTCAGACCCCTATTCCGCAAGACCCTGCGACCCGTACAACGAAGCCTTTGAACCCCTAAACCCTAAACCCTATACCCTAAACCCTAAACCCTTGAAACAGCCAACTGGGTTCCTCTTTTGGAGGTGGCGCAAGTCTTGACCCACGACCGTAAGCTGCTCGCCACGGTCACCACGCGCCTTTGCTCACTGGTCTCAGAAGGGTTTATTTTTAGGCTTTAGTGGATGAAGACAAGTGGGGATTTAGGGGTTTTTGGGGTTTTGGGGGTTTTGGGGGGTTTGGGGTTTTGTGGGATGAAGGAATCCTCGTATTAAGGGTTCTTATTCGGGATTCACTTGCCTTCGCCGGATCCTTAACAAAGGGAAATTTCGAGCTGAAAGGCTCTCGGTTACGTGTTTAATGTAGGGGGCCTTACTAATTAGGATGCGTTTTTCTTTTTGGGGGGGGTCCTTATAATAGTTATAGTATACTGTACCCCAAAACCTTATTCTAATTATTAAGACCCCTACATTAGGGCTTTGGCGTTTTGGGATTCTATGTTTAGGGTTTGACGAGCCGGTTGAAACTGTTGTTTGCTGATGTGTCTCCTTCTACGGACGCGCGCCGACAGGCACCGTGCGAAGCTCAAACTGGGGCTGCACCTTTTGTTCTCCCACTAATCCATCAGGCACAGGACGTTCCCACTTTGATGTGGACGGAGGCTTTCATCTCAGCTGTCATCGTGTACTTGAGACATGAAAGTATTATGGCCTCTTTGCGGACAGAAATAGAATGGATTCTAAACATGATCGGATTACGGAACCCTGACTGCTACTGCCTGCATGAGCGCGCGACATCCTGAAAAGCCTTGCTGAACCCTAAATCGGCTTCGTTTCAGCCTCTCACACGCAGCCCGTACAAAACCTTGCTAATCCCGGTGTATAGAACCCTGCAGAACATGTATAAACAAAAGCTTCATACAAAGCCCTCAAGAACCCTCACGTCAAGTCTCTAAGCTCGAAACCTTACAGGATTAAAGCCCAGATTAGCAAGCCCGAAACCATCCTAAACCCCTAAACCCTAAACCCTAAACCCCTAAACCCTAAACCCTAAACCCCCTAAACCCCCTAAACCCCTAACCCCTAAACCCTAAACCCCTAGCCCCAACGCTTTTCCCTCTGCCTGCCTCTCATGTCACCGAAGGCGCCTCAGCAGTGGCAAGGACTGGACCAGAAGTAGGGAGGTCTATGGGGTTATAGAGGACTCCTTAGGAGCCCAGTAGGTAAACTTTAAACTTTTTGGTATATTAAACCCCCTATATAGGGTTTAGGGTTTAGGGTTTAGGGTTTTTGGTTAGGGAGGTCTATGGGGTTATAGAGGACTC